AGAAAGCAAAATGCATGCTGTGATCTCCCTCTGTATGAGGTGACACTAATACACACACACACACACACATTAGGACCAAACAACTGTAAATTACCACATTGTTGTTATGTGACTGTATTATAAGCTGTTCATTAACTCTTATAATGATACGACTTACTTTTAAACCTTGGATGTTCTTTCTTGATTTACATTTTATTTTTTTGGTGTACCCATGTTTATTTGTCTTTTTTCTGAACTGTTTTGCTGTAACAATGTTAGTTTCCCCACTCTGCGACAATATTCCACTTAATGTCAAATAAGTACGGTAAATGTTTGTCTTGGTGCCCATTTGGATTCCATTGTTTTATGTTTACTTTCTTTTTAAAACTGACACTGTTAAATCTGGGGAATGTCTTCATACATCCCAAAAATGTAGTCACACCGACCATTTCAGACAGTATTCTATGGCGCCGTTAACGACACTTTCTATTTAATGCAAACAATGTTTCTAAAACCATTAACAGAGCAGCTACAGCAGAGGAAAAACTCATCATTCAATTAGATATTAACTACACATTAGAGAAAATATTTGCACAAATAGAAAAGTTATTGAGTTATAAAACTATTTGTTTATGTTACTCTGGTTTGATAAATACTGGCTGCACTAATCTAGACGGCAGCAAATTCACTCTATACTTTTTTTAACCATTTTTGTAATAATTACTGAACCGCATGAAATGGTAGCTTTGCCTCCTGGATTCCACTGTAAAGCCTCCTCACAGGACTTATTACCAATTTGGATTATTTTGTCTTTATGTTTACTCTTATATTACTTCATTACAAAATTCTTAACATACTGACCATTTAAGACAGAATATACTAGGGGGGCGTGTTTAATACCTTAAGATTTTCTACCCGACTAAACTATTTAACCCCGGCCTCCTCACCCTGTCAGTGCTGCCGGCCGCTCGGCTCTCTTTGTCCTTGCTGCTGATCTCAGGCATGTAGGCGCGACTCAGCAGGTTGTACCACTTGGTGCATTTCTCCTCCGAACAGCTGACATCAGCGAGGCTGATCTGGGCTCCCGCCTGCAGGGGGGNGGGGGGGGGGGGGGGAGAGGAAAGATGGAGGAGTGTTAAAGTTTCAGAAACATCTGGAACAACGCAGCGTGTCTGCTCAGAGAATTCTGCACTTTTGGTTTGCTTCCTTTTTTGTTTACTATAAAACAATGAAATGAGTCGGCACAGTGATTGATTCTCCTGTGATTATTTCCATCGTTGCATTTTAATACAGTGGAACACACACAATGCAGACTTTATGGGACATGCCACATAAGTTGTGTGTAAGGTACTTTGGAAGTCTTCCTATCCTATCCAACATTTTCTTTGATTCCTTTGTTGTCTTAAAGTAAACTTTTTAAAGTTACGTTTGTTACATTTTTTTTAAGCGTTTAATATTCAGTAAATCAATTGTGCTACTTTCTCTTTAGTTGTTTTATTTTATTCAGTGTCATTATAAACGTCATCCTTTTTTAATGTTTTTCCTGAACATTTACAAGTCACCAGCTGACAGGCAATTAAACGTCTGATGCTATAATGATATTAAACTGAGTTCCCTTACAACAACAGCGTGTGAACATGTAACACTAAGTAGCCATAGTCTCTCAAGTTCCTTTTGAATGGGAAATAGATTCATAATACAATTGTATTTGAAGCTTTAACAGCTAATGATTAAACCTTGAATCAAATGACTACTCTACGTTCCAGATTCAAAACCTCCTACTGACCAGACACTCTTCATGGCCCGACTTGCTGGTGTTGCAGATGTCAACCCTCAGTGTCTTCTGCCGCAAAGCACTGTGGGATATCTGCATGCCGAACACCTCGTTGACTTCCACCACGTCCTGTGGCAGAGAGCCGCGTGTCCTGAAGAGGCAGCGGGACGCCTCCGCGCACGGCAGCACAACCGCACGCACATATCTGCAGAAACAATGTGTTCACATGTTTTAATGTGTTGCCGTGTGTTAAATGGTTGCACAGGCACCACTTTGCCAGTGTAAACATAACCAGACGCCCCACAGACACACAACTAGAGTCAGTGGAGCCGGCAAACACACCGGGCTGCAGGCAACAAACAGGACACGCCCCCAGTTTAGAAACTAAGTACACTTTAAACTCTCCACCTGTGTCTGTTTAACCCACTCATGCATAACTGTGTCATTATCTGAATGTACAAAATGCTTATTGATACAAGCTTTCTGTTTGTTCTTCTAACTGGTGGCTTTAGTTCCTTTATGTCTGTACATTTAAACCTAAATGACTCACTAAGCAGCTCATTTGATGGATGATGTACAAACAAATTCAAGAACCATTTTTTGTTTATGTAGAAAAGTGCAAATATGCAAAGTAAAGGGAAGATGAAAGTATCAAATGAGCTGCTTAGCGAGTAATTTAGGTTTGAATGAACAAACATAAAGGAACAAAAGCCAACAGTTAGAAGAACAAACAGAAAGTTTGTACCAACATTCCCAATGGTTTATCTGAATGTACCTGCATTTTACCTTCTGTTCTGAGCTTGCATCCTTATTGTCCTTATTGTAAGTCACTTTGGATAAAAGCCTCAGATAAACAAAGTGTAATGTAACCTAGCGGTAAAAGGACGTACATTTTCTGGTCAGCGGGCAGACAGAGGGCGCTGCAGTTGGAGAGCTGCATGACGTAGATGGTGAAGCGTTGGTCTCTGGACTCGTAGCGGAAGCCCAGCTGCACCTGAGAGCAGCCGAGGGCCAGCCGCTCGTCGTAGGAGCCGAGGAGCAGCTCAGCAGGGAGGCCCGGCCTGCAGGGGGGAACACACACACACACACACACACACACACACACACACACACACACACACACACACACACACACACACACCTGATGAAATATCATGGCAACTGAGAATTTAACGTCAGGGTAAAGGTATGGTGTTACAAGTTCTCTATTCAGAAGTATTCTTAACACTGAAAATGTGAACAAATAGTTGAAATGTAACAAATATTTAAGGAAATATATGCTGTATTAGAGCTGGGCAATGTTTCTTTATTATATTCATATAAGGATATGAGGTTGACATCGTATTGGATCATCTATTCCTGGTTTTTGAACGCTAAGTTAACATTTTTTAAAAAGGCCTTTAACTTGCCAGACTGTTCTATAATGTGCCTCTACCCACATAATCATTATATCCACAACATTGATGTTTATTCATCAACAATCTCATTTTGTAAATATCTTGTTAAAGCATCCTACAGTCCTTCACAGCAATATCAATATCTAGGTATTTGTTCAAAAATATTAAAAACGCACAGCGCTACCCTACATGCCCAGATTGTGCTTCAAGACTCATGTTGAAATATAAAGATAAGAAAAAGAAATACAAATGCAAAGAATTCAGGATACATTTTGTATATGTAAAACATCAGATGAAAGGACACCATCCAGGGTGCTTATCTCACAACATAAGCTGTAAGTAACAGCTCTTCGTACCTGCGCTCCGAGGGCTCGTACACGCCGCTGTCTCCGGCCACTGACTCGTCAGACACCGCTGAGGTCACGCCCATCTTCTTTGGCCCCGCACCCGTCCCTTGAAGCTCGGGGGCCAAGTCTGAAGACACAAGAGGAAAGATACAAGGTGAGGATATGGCTAAATGTAATGTCTTTCTTTAATTGATTTCCAGTTGATGTGTCTATTAAGAATAAGGCTGGTGATATCCAACCTAACATGGTCTTCCATCAGAACCAACACAAAATAAAGTAAGTACTATTTAAGAACTTTTTCTGACCTGATATAAACTGAATGGTTCCTAAACAGATTATGTCACCTTGGCCTGAAATAGTACTTGTACTTTTTGGGGAATTTAAGAATGTCACATTGCAGTGAAGCATACATTTGTTTCAACAAAAGAGTATCACTAGGTTTCATCAAACATAACTTCATCTAATATCATATTCATCTGCTTAAAACAAATATGCATGCATGTCTCTGAACTGAAAATACTCTGAACCAACAAAAGATGGAGAAAGAGATTTGAAACCAAACACAGTCAGCTCAAAGTATTTGCTAAACCACGGACCCTGTGTACGCCCTACAGTTACAATTTGTTTGTTTTATGCTCTGACATGTAATTAGGCTGTCCTTGCTTTGTTAGGGACTCCAGTGTAAACAATGAACAACAGCCTGCTGCCTTTGTAGAAGGGAATTGAGATGTCACAATGGCTGCTAACACAATGGTTTACCTGAATAAAATGAAAGGGCTGACTTATTGCTACTGATCTTAACACATGTATGGTTTATATAAGGGTGGAAAATGTTGATGTGTGGACAGCCTTACTGTTTACATATGTTTACAGTCTTCCTATTTATTTATATATTATCACAACACTGAACAATCCTCATCCTAAGGATTCTGTACGTTGCATCGTTGGCAAAATTATCTGCAGCTATTGGTCATATGACTCATATGTAAATAAAGCTTTTGAATCTTTGAATCCTTGAATCTCCTGGCCTGGCTGTGAAGACTGAATGTTGGCACATGTTGAGTCCTGGCAGCAGTGACGGAGCGTGAAGAGGAAACCGGACCCCAGGACCACCTTTCACCCGACGACGCAACCAGAACCTGAGTCACGTGCTGCTGCAGCGGCTGAGAGCCTGCTTCAAACTCCACCTGACCCTCACCACATTACAGCCACCATGCAGTTTTCATTTATTTCAGTTGCAGCAGCATCTTTGGCTGAAACGATACTCATGGAGGTTATTTTAGGTTTCAGGGTAATCTGTCGATCCTGTAATGGGTACACTTCCAACAGGAACGGCTGAAAGCTACTTTTAATATGTTGCTTTGTCTAACTTACAGAAAAAGGACATTCAGTTTACAATGAGAAAAACTAAATCCTAATAAATATTGTTTTGTTTAATGAGGACCAATATCAACAATGTTGTCCATTAATTGTCTGTGGATTTACTTATTCAATTCAAGTCAATTTGACATCAATAACAGTTTAATTAATATACTTTTAGCTCTTTAAACCCTACTATTTGTATATTTTTGTATGAATGTCAATATGTTTATTAATTCTATACACCACTGTATTTATTGCAATATAAATAGTTTTCATATGTAATGTGGTAATACAGTACAATGTTCACATTTTAACTTCTTATGGTAATATATATTTTGATTTCATATTCCTATGGCACATTTTTTACTTCTACTTTAACTTTGTATGTTTATAGAAATATTTTAATTCCAATTTATTGTATTTTGAAATGTCCCAAAACCTAATGTCCCCTAGGGATAAATAAATTGTTCACACACACACACACACCCCCCAGCAGCCGTAATCCTACACCGCCTCACCTCCTCTCCCCCTCTCATCGTTGCTCCCACCAGCAGTCAGGTTTCACACACTGTATCACATTTCTCATCTCACACACACACACACACACACACACACACACACACACACACACACACACACACACACACACACACACACACACACACTGAAGAGGAGGATTCCTTGTATGCTGCTTTCCAATAAAGTTGGAGTGTTTTCTCGGAGGTCTGGTGCAACGGAGATAAAGCCGTTACCTCAGCAGCCTCTCTCCATGTCTCATGCAGACACTTCATCACTGTTATGGTTCTCCTGATATGAACTGGGATCATCATTAGAGCGCTGCTGAGTTTTTATGCACACATCCTTTTATTGCTGTTGAGATTTGAAATGATTGCTTTGAGGATAAAAGTCCCTCCCAAGTTTAATGACAAGGCTTTGTATCTCTGTTTGTTTGGAAGACCTCCCCCCTGAAAACAAACACTTCAGTCTTCTGTGTACTGTGTGGTTTAGGCTCTTCAGTCACAATGAGAGGCATATCTAATGCTGCAGCATACAGGGATGTTTAGACAACAGCGGGCTTTCTACTTTGTGTCAACAGATTGTGGTTGTCTCTTTTCCTGACAGTGCCATTATCCACACAGCACAAACAGGCTTCACAGCTTGGTGAAGAACAGATGTTTCAATGCAACAATTATAAAGGAAGGACAGCAACTTCTTTAAGCAAGCTTGCAACATCAGCACCAATCCATGTACGGTGTATATATATATGTATCTCATTGTGATCATTCCTCACCGTCAGGACATGCAGCTTCTTGAAATGTAGCTTGTTTTACATTTTATAATGTATATAATGTGTCCCGTCTAGATTTGAGATATTTTGCTTATTGAAATGTCTATTGCACAGTATTCAAATGTATTCAGTATTTTCTTTATATGGTGTATTATTTGGATACTCTAGTGATACATTTTATACTATGAAGATGTATATATATTTGTTGTTGTTAATGTTAATTTTCTATTATATTCATATCTTATTCTATCTTTTCAATATTTGTAACTTAATAATTGCCCAATTTGGGATGTATTAAGTATTTATCCATCTATCTAATGCATCTTGTAATAGGGGAATTTGCACATGCAAACATTCAAACATTTGTTTAATATTTAGCACACAGAGGAAGAACAAGGCATCTTCTCCTCTAACTCGACGTGTCTGCACAGAACCCTGAAAAAAACCCTTTCCAAAATGTTGAGATGAACTGGAAACAAGTGTGTGAAAGTGTTGAATCAAAAAAAAAAGGATACACTTTTAGACCAACCCCAAATAAATAATATTGTCCTGTATTTTGTACAGATTGTGTTTTGCTTCACATTCTAAAACGTTTGAGATGAACTGGAAACTAGTCTGTGAACCTTTTGAATAAAAAAGACGTCTCTTTACCTTTGACCTCCTCGCCCAGTGTGGTGTTGTGGTTCTGCGTCTCCTCCGGCCCCCCCCTCTCCTCCTGCCTCTGCTCCTGAGAGTCCAGACTGAGTTCCAGCTCTGCCAGCCTGCTGTGGAGCTCCAGATCCAGGCTCAGCCCCCCCGGCCCCGCCTGGCCCGCGAACGTCTCTCCGGACAGGAAGCTAGTGTCCGTTACCAGGGGCGAGCAGGGCGGAGACAGAGAGGACAGGGAGGAGCGGGGGGACAAAGAGCTCATGGAGCGGGGGGTCTCAGACAGTCTGAGGGCCTGGATCCTGGACGACCCCGACTCCCCCGCCACGCCTCCTCCAGCGGGACCCCCTCCCACCTCACCTGCTCTGACCTCAGGCGTCTCTCCGGATCCTGTTACCACCTCGTGTTCGTGGATGGTGGTTATGGAGCTGGAGGGCCGGTAGCCCCCCTGCCCCCCCTCCTGCAGCAGGCTGTCCAGCTTGTTCTGGAAGTCCGGGTCGGCCAGCTCGGGCTGCTCCAGGTAGATGTCGGTGAAGCTGAGGGACGAGGAGGAGCCAAGGCTGGAGGTGGTGGCCAGCGAGCAGCGGCTGGAGGTCAGAGACCCCCGACTGCTGCCCGACGAGCAGGACAGGGTGCTGGCCGACAGCCTGAGGGAGAGACAGCAAATTAATAAAACATTTTGCATGTTCCAGAACAGTTGTTATCAAGCGACGATGCAAGGTGTTTTTAAGTTATCAGGCAGTGGCCCAGAAGACAGTTTGTGTTTGGGCTTTGAGACCAATCCCAAATAAATAATGTTGTCCTACATTTCAAGTGTTTGCGACACATCTGACTGGGCTCACCGCTTTTTGAGGAAGTTCTACCATTTTAAAAGTCTTCAAGATCTGTGGATACCGTGTTATAATTAATTTATTAAAATAAAGTAACCTTTTTAAAGAAAATGTAGACAACAGGACTTCTTTATTACTGCTTACTTTCTAAGAAAAAGTCTTTGGAAATGCAATCATATAAAGCCTGTGTCGATTCCGTGACAACCATCCTACATTCAGAGGACATTTCTTTCAAACAGAACATAACATACTAATAGATTTATATGCGTCTGAAAAATCCCTGATGACCCCACGCTGCTGTCACACTTGTCAAAATGCTTTGGATACAAGCATCAACTTGACATAATTGTTTTTAAACTAATACATTTTATAGCTCCTATAAACGGCATATTGCTCTATTTCACATTGAGTTTAGTGATAGTAAATGATGAGAAATAAAGAGGCTTTAGTGAAGACAACAGAGTAAAAAGACACGTTTTTGGCAAGAAGAAGAAGAAACATGAAGATGGATAAGCAGAAAGCTACATGGCTACAGGCAGACTGTTTCCCACGTCTACTATATACCTCCCTGTCTGCTCACTCTTTTATTTGCCTTTCCATAATAAAAACAAAACAAATTTCACCCAAAACAATGCAGCTAAAACAGATCACAATAATGACTATAGTTATATCCTTTTAGTTTGTGTATGCCTCCTATTTAGTATATCTTATATATTCTGTAAAGGATAAAACCCTGCTCTTCTCCTTAGCGTTCAGCACTTTGTAGATTGTTGCTTTTAAATGGCATATTGTTTTTACTATATGCCTGTTATTATTTGTATACATTATTATTTTGTTTTTACCTTTTTATTTGTATTACTTTTCTTATACTATGGTATGTGAGCTGGGCTGTGTGATTTGTGTATTTTATGAACACATTTAATTATTTCTCTGTACAGCACTTTGGTCTGGAGGTTTTAGTGCTTTACAAATAAAGCTGTATTGCATATCAAATAGCCTAAATGTATGAAATTTGATATAAAAAAACGTACCTGTCAAAAATGTAAGCTGTAATTGCACAATCTGTTTGGCTTTTGTGTGTTATTCTATATCTTAGCACAGCAGTAGAGATGTTCATTGCAATTGAAAACAAGTGGAGGGCCTAAGATAGACCTTAGATATTGAGAGTGATTCCTCCTGTAGCCGTGTATTAAAGCTCTGTAATGAAAGCAGAGAGGCTCGTTAGCAAAGACAGAGAAGACTTCCTGTCCCCCGGGGAGACTTTTGATGTTTCTCCGACCAGAAGGTTGGACGTGAACAGAAATAGAGTGAGGGAGATAAACGTGCCTGAGGAGGAGACAGAGAGGACACTGGCAACGATTCAGAATATCACTGTTGAATTTAAACTGTCTGAGTGTCAAATATTAAACGATTCTGAAAATAAGTACAGTTCTTACAGCTGCCTTGCGTCAGCTCATAAAAATGTGATTCCCTCCCTGGGATGTTTATAATTGGGCTGGAAAGAGAGATTTGTGGCGAGTGAAATGAAAACGACGAGGAGAACAAAATGGCTTTCATCTTCTGCAAATGTTTGGTGATTAAACATTAAAATACTTCCATCGCGCCAAATGTTCTCAACCTCCCCTTCCCTTCCCTTCAAAGCTCTGCTGCCTTCTCTGCCTGATTTGAATCTAATGACTAAATGTTTTCAGTCCATCATCTAATGGTCAACGACCTTGTGAGAAAATAGGCTGAATTTAAGAAAGGCTAAATGTGATAAATGAATGTAGGAAAAATTAAGCAAAACATGCTGATCTTTAAGTCAATGGATTTGTTTCTGAATGTTCCTTCATTAACTGTCTCTACTGTACTGACGATAACAGTCCAGCCCTATCTCTATCAACTAACGAACATTAGTTTTTTTATTGGATTTCTACGAGAAATATTCATTTTCAGATAAATGACTTGGTGCGTAAAATGTTAATTTTACGTAAAAGGATTAGGGACACATGAGAAACACTTGTTTGGGATGTGACCAAGAAACCAGAAATGACCAGACATTTGTTCTGACCTTAATCTGAGAATTCTGAGAAAAAAGTCAGAATTTGAGTTATTTAAAGTGGACCTATCATGCTACATTTGAATAATATATTGTAGGGCCATACCTATATAAAACATGTCTGTGAAGTTTTTTTTTCAAAATACCAAACAGATCTTGCATTTTAGCCATGCCTCATTTCGCTCTATTTGCTCTATTCCAGCCCTGTTTTTGCAAGGGCTGATTCTGTGGCAAATGAGCTGCAGCTGACCACGCCCCCCTGCAAAGGAGGGGGGCGAGGCACGAGCGTCATGTTACCATGCTGTTACCATGCTGTCACCATGCTGTTACCATGCCACAGCAACCCCCCATTCCCCTGATAGGTGGAGAGTTGCCCATATAGGCGGAGCTCATTGTTTCTGACGTCAGAGATATTTCAAATCTGTATCAGTCTGTATCAGATCTGTTGCAGCCCCGTTTTTAGAGATTTGGGTATGGAGGAAAAGAGAGAGGGTTGTGTTTTCTGACACTTGGTGAGTTCTCTGACACACCGGGGACACATATTCATGTATAAAAGACGTACAAAAGTGCATTTTGCATGATAGGTCTCCTTTAAATAATAATATTTATTTTCTGGAAATCTCAGAATTCTGACTTTGATCTAAGAACTGAAAAAACTTTTAGTCAAATATCCAATGAAAAAGCAGAAGTGGCCCATTCCTCTTCCGTAATTATTACAGATAGAAATGACTACAAAGATAATACCTGGGTTGGAATAAATCTGAATTGTCCTTTAAGACATCTACAGCAGTAATGAGAGAAACAAACCCTTTGAGTTGAGTATGCAGGGATGTGGCCAGACGGACCATCTCCTCCAGCTCTCGCACCAGTTTGTTCCTCTTGCAGTGGAGTCTCAGCCTGAAATGATCAAACAAATCAGTCAGTTACAGACCTTTGGATTAACAATAACTCTCTTTTGAACAACTCAATTGTCTACAAATTGAAAGCAAAACTAATCTTATTCCTTTTGTGCTGCTCCCAGGTAGAACATTGGTCACTTTCTCATATATAAAATAAATAAATAATAGTTTGAGTCCTTGAAAAAGAGAACAATTATAACATGACAGTGGTGGTGATGTGTTCAGGCGTCATGGGGAAAAGCCACTTTGTGTTCAGGGGACAGCGGTGTCATCTGTTTGAATAAGCTTTGTTCTGAGGAAAACATGAACAGCTGTTACTATGATCCGTGGCTGGAGAGCAAACAGGCCAAAGAGGGGAAGCCTTTTATCAGGTTACACACTGCTGTCGGG